TGTTGGCAGGGACACATTAATGGTCAATACAGTTTATAAGAATGTTCTTCTTCGAACCTATTGGAGGATTAATTGCTAACAAGGTATATAGGAAAAAACCCGAATTTATAGTATAAGAATAAAGATTGAAATAAAGAGAAGAAAAATAAAGTCTAAGACCAACGGAAGTTAAGATATGGACTGATTGAACAAATTCACTTGGATATTCCTTTCAAAGGACACTCGATTGCTGATAAGACCACATGACAAGATTTGGACTATGAACAGAAATAAGGAGTAAGAGATTTAATAAGGATGATGTCTAAACCCTCTCGAATTAACATAAACTGTGATCGCTAATCAGGTAATCAAGTGGCAAACTTACCAACACATAATGCAAGGTGGACGAATTGGATTAATTTGAAGTTAACTGCATAAAAATTAAAGATCGTGCCCATTTTCACAGAGGCAAAATAATTAAATAAAACAACTCTACAGAAACACGGATACGGACAGATCAGGAATATCATAACGAATCACAAAAAGGACACGAGATCAACCGGAAGGCAGCAGAAATACTGTGATCAAGCGATGGAAATAAGAAGAAAAGGAGGCCATCGACATCCCTGTTGAAGGAAACAAAATATGACAATGTAAAGGAGAATATCCAAAATCTTAGCCTAGTGCTTAGGTAAACTCTGAGGAATGAGAAATAAGCAAGATCAGCAAATAGAAGAAGCCTGTATTCAGAATATACCTTGAGCAAGTTGAGAAAGGATAGTATGGAAGACCCCCTAGGGAAAATCGGAAACGTATAAAAGACGGTTGCTGTGAGTGCTGTCAAACCAAAGAATCAGAGATAAAATTTAGGGGTTTGGTGTGCAAAAGGAAAATAATAATTGCAATCATTACAGAAAGAATAGCGGGGAAAAGTCGGAAAGAAATCCATTAGTGATGCAGTAGAAGCCAAATAAGAGAATGGACTTCAGTTATCTGACGAGTTAAATCCCGAGCTATAGCATATCACTAACGATGCCAGCGGAATAACCTGGTATGCGTTAAGTCATTGATTCAATGGCGGAAGAAAATGTAACGATTACAGATAACAGTGCATGGTATGTTCTTTGAAAACTGCCTAGGACTAAATTACGAAATTGACAATAAAAATTCATAGCTCGAGCACTTTATGAAATTCCCTTAAGTACAGAATAACTAAATATACTTACCTCAACATCCTGATCGTTTGATGCTCCTGCTAAGGCTTCATTCACCCAGGCCTTGTGATCAAATCGTGGTGAGCCGAATTTAGTTAGGTCCTAAATATGAATGATTCAAGAATAGGTTGTTAATATGACTGGTAAGATTCGAAATACCATAATGAATTATAATGAAGATACATTTTATGGTAAAACGCTTTAATGCCATATAATAGAGCATGACATTATAGGCGTCTTTAGCAAGCACAAATGCATATTCCAAAATTAGCCCTTTGAGCAACAATAATGGATGAGGGTTTTCTAAGGACTTACCTACAAAAATGTTAAGATGTGAAGATGCATCCAGAGATCTTTCTAAACTTTAATTATCTCAGACGCACCATACGACAGTGTATGACATAAAAACCTTATCTGCACGCAAACCAATAGGGCTGGAGTTGGCGAGCGTATTTTATGTGAGTGAACCTGAATGTAGGCAGGGTAGAAATGCGACGGCTACCTTATCCAGTACTATCCACCATCTTGGTCCTGAAAGGCAGAGTTTTTCTGCTGTGTAAGCACTGAAATGCTTATGCGG